TCATCGTCCGGCTTCTTCTCCGTTCCATCGAAGAAACCCCAAAGTCCCTGCTCCATCATGAGCACTTGGAACTTAAACTTCCACGCGGAGTAATTTTGTCCCGTGAAAATCGGTACCGCCGATGTGTCGAACATCGTCGCGGTTGCCCAGGGTTCGCCGGAATTTACAACGACACCATCCAAGGAAGTGCGGGAGGCCTCGCTTGAAGTCATCATGCTTGCTCCTTGTCGCGCGCGTAGACTCCTCCGACCAGCTCTGATACCACTGTTGTAAAGGACTCTCCTCTACTTTGCAGGAACTGGGAATTGTTCTAATCGGTAGAGCACTCTGTTAGCTTTCCAACGAGCCATAGATCACCTCGATCGCCTAAGTATCGAGCGAGATATGGCTACTAACGTGAAAGCTATGCTCTATGTTGAAGGATTGGAAACTCTCTGGAATTTGTTGTCGAATGCACCGTGTACAAAGTGATTCACGTTTTCCAGTATAAAGCATGCAATACAAAGCAAACAGATTTATAGCATGCAACAAACATCGAGTCGCACAAGTAACCTCGAACCGCGGTACACTCGAATGTTCGAGTAACATTTCGAAGGATTGGTGGGGCGATTGATATGCCCCCAAGAATCGAATTCTTCTCGAGTCTCGATTCTTCTTGTGCTGCCATGTGGCACCGAAATGCAAGTCTCTCGAAGTCAACCTGCACCTTCTCGAGACCTGCAGTGAACACATTCGGAAGCAACACATTAGGTGGGTTGGGGGCATATCAATCGCCCCACCACCACCTTGCTTCCAACACACGCCACCTCCAACAGTTACCTGGTCGACCTGGACGACCACCAGGTGCCCCTGGTCGACCACAACTCCCGTCAAGCAACCCCCTGGTCGACGGACCCCTTCAGTCGATCAAAACTGTCAGCTTCTGTCGCCGAGCTCCCCTCGTCGATCGCTGCTCACTTGTAAGGTCGACGGACTGCTCCGTCGACCTCCCGGTCGAACTGCTCCTCCTGGTTGACGGCACACCCGTCGCCCAGGCCAGTTAGTTGTAGCTGTCGAGCACCCTGGTCGACAGCAACATTACAGTGGTCCAGTGCAGCTCGACGAAGCCTGTCGAGCAGCTCTCCCACTGTGAACGGTCGGCTGCTACTCCCGTACATCCGACCAAGTCGTCGACGTTGCCCAAGCGAGGGCGGGGCCAACACTCCATTCCCGTTAACAACATCAACCACAGCAGCACAGCAGAAAACAAATCCAATCTCTCAGACAGTATCAACCTCGAGTTTGTCGTTACATTCTCTTGTGCTCGCCTCGTTTGCGAAGAGGTGAGGTGAGGTGAGGTGAGAAGGTGGAAAGGGTGATGTCATCCCTGACCCTCTGGGCTGCCCCAACAGTTCAGTTTTACACTTGATGTCGAACTCCATCCCGCAAACTGTAGCGCAAGCCGCGGTTGAACCAGGGCAGGTGGGGCTTTCTGCTCCAGGAGAAAATGACTCGGTAGCCTCTTATTTTTCAAGCCAAGAACGCATTTACTATTGTAACCCGACCGCAGGTTACACTCGATACTGTCACGTCACTCTAAAGAGCTTTCATTTGTGCGGCAATACACGTGTTACACGTCAATAATTGAAGAGAAGGCATGGCTCACATGTGCAATGTTTGCATTTTTTCACCCTGTCTTTGTGGCTGGGGTCACTTCTCCCAGCCACGCTGGCTTGGATTTCTACCGCTGGCCCATAGGCTTCACGGGCGTGGTAGCACACCATCATCATTCCACACAACCCGCCACTTCTCGGGGTGGTTGCGATGCACTGTCGTCAATTCACCGCCGAGTCGCTTATGCAGACATCAAACTATGGGTTCGTTACAGTTCGTCAATTCGCGATCAAGAAGGTCAACCCCTCTATCCCCTTCCGTGGAATGTAACTGTAATAGCCGACGATGGAACTGTAACACCTGTATGAATGCACAGCTTGAAAGACATTACAGAGTGCAGCTTGGTGGCAAACGAAACTCGAAATCATGGGCAGAAGAAATTCCGCATCCGTTGTGGGATTACAGAACTGTTCAGGTCCAAAACCTCCCTGGGACTTTCATCAACACCTTTCATTTGCCAAGAAATGTAAACAGCGTACTATTCAAAACTTTTCTGCTGGCCATCCCGACCCGAAGCACGGATCACAACAGACACAATACTGTATCCAGCGCTGATGCCAGTGTTCATCATCACATGCTAGGACTGGTCCCACCCCGCGTGCTAGGCGCCTGTGGCATTCTTTTGAAGCTTCCAGGACGGGGTCGCTCGCTACCAGTCCCTTCAGCTGTCGTGGTTCTTATGGTGTAAACTTGTTCAGGAGGAGGACGCCTGAACCAGCATGGTGTGGACAGATGATGTGGGGTGGAGTTTCTCTCCTCCAGCGGTCCTTCATCCTCCACTGAAGTGCTTTTAGAAACTTCATCAGTAAGACAAAGTATGCGTTCGTCACCCTTGAAAAATAGTGAATCCCTAAAATTTGCAAGCTGTCCACCCCTGATCGTTGACGTGACGATGCGTATTTCAAGTTCTTAGGTATTTAGTTCATTTCTCAGTTTTTTCACACGTCAACTTCGTGGACCCGTCGAGACCCGTCAGCTTTTTCACCCTCTCAGGAGCCAGAAACCCCAGCCTCTTAGGGATCAGACCGGAAGCACTCACGTTTTAGGGGATTAGTTTCACGCACAGGCCACTCGTCGATTTTCCGCGATGACTAGGTTTCAGGGAATTCATCCGACTTTAGATGGTACGCTTGGGGTCAACCCTGAACCATGTTGGCCGTGTGTGTTTCCGTTTCTCATTGGTGCATTCCCGACGTCATTCCCTCTTTCTTAACACCTTTTCCCGTTTCCATGCTCTCAGAGGTCCGTGCATACCTAAACTCGGATCACTTGGAGGAGATGCGGCACAGCATCCATCAATCAGCAGCCGATATGTGGATCGCGGAGGAGCGATTTAAGTCCTGTCTGGAGCAGGCATTGTCGAATCATCCCTTCGCCACCTCCCAGCCTTCTCGCCGTTACGGTGACGCGACAGCCGGGGAGACTATGTCTCATGGTGCTACGTTAGTCACTTCCTCGTCTTCCTCATTGACAGCTTCACGCGGTGCACGTTCTGCAATTCCTGAAAGCAGTCATTTGTCCCGGGAACGAAACAACGGCCTGTGCTCCTTGTTGAACCGGTATCGACGGAAGATCTCGCGGCATTTGTCCTGCTCGTAGAGTGACACTTCCGACGCGCAGCATTCAAGGACGCGGAGAGAGGAGAGTTCTCCATCTCCAGTCCAGTCAAACGAAGCTACAGCGACCAGCCCCCCATTTGATGCACGCCGAAGCCGCTTATGCGAGTACCGTAGAAGGGGCAAAATCACTTCCCAAGCGTTAGCGCTGATCTCAGAGCATTTATCGTGCTCATCCCCTTCTTTTTAGTTTCCTACTTGTCCAATGTAGCCGTTCTTCTGTAGGTGCATGGATATGACATGAAGACCTCATTCAACTAATATACAAGAAACTGGGGGTCATCCATATAAGTTTCATCAGCACAACACTGGCTAACAACATGCCATCCTTCATGAGAATAGGCTACTCTGTGCTGGCCCCATACCCGCACTCTCCTACCTTGGTCCTAGTCTAGCCTGCATCCTGGTGAGAATGCATTAATCTACCCCCTTCTATATATTTATTGATATGTTAATCAACCGGTGAAATCGTGAGAATTGTGGGACACCTCTTTCTGTGTATAATATAAAGCAAATATAAAAACCTTATCATCAACTACATGAAAACATCGGCCTTTTCACACATGAAACTTTCTAAATAATGCAATATGTTTACCCCTATTCCAATATTAAGCGCAAATGTTTTGCTTTTTTTATGCGTATGCACTAAAAAAAAGGCAAATACATTCGCAGTCGTAACTGATTTCAGGTGGGTCGTAACACTTTAGTTACCATTTGATCACATCTCCTTGGACGGCGACCGTTAGAACGTCGCTTGCTCCCTGACGAATCGGATGCTCGAATCCAGTGCGTCGTAGACTCTGCAGTTCAACGCTCGCCGTCCAACTCTGGGTTCCACTTTTCGCGCGCTTGAAAGTAGTCGCTCGCCACTTTTCTCTGGAAGACCATGAAAACAGATTCAACACGCCTGACTTGGAATTTCACCTGCGGTACGTCGTCCACCTGCGTGCACCTGAAGTGATGGTCTGTGAACCTGCCACCAAATGAAGTGGGAGCGACATCTTTTTACGAATTTGTGTGCTGAAAGAAGTTTTTTTCGCGGTTCTCAGTCTGGATCACCACTTAGAAATTTCCACTGAAACGCCATTGTGGAATTCATTAAATCGCAACACGGCGGTAAGACCGAAAATATCATGCCTTGAACATTCATGGTTGCCAGTTCTGCCTGCATAGTTGGCACCTGAACGTGAGTGCACCTCTCGCAAGGGCAGCACAGCCGTCCAACCATACTGCGAAACTGTCGCACACACCCAGCGTTATGCTCTGCGCCCCGCGCAAGATTTCAGCTGAGTGTGCGCTGCGTCGCACACAAGGCTCTCTGTTGCCAGGGGTTTCTCCTCAGATGCCTGTTCCTCCACTCGCGGCGCCCCGCCAAACGGAACGAGAGCAGGTAGAGGAACAGTAATTTCGCAGACCACATGTTTCCCTCGCACCTGCTGGTATGAGGTCACCCGCAGGTATTGCTCAGGGGCTTGTGCGATCAAGTATTCACGAAACCCGTTTTCCGCTTCAACCATCTTGAACGCGTCTGCAGCAAAACTCTCCGCCATCCCATAGTAGAGAAAGCAATCCCCTCCATTCTTCCAGGTTGACTTAGCCTGGAGCCATTTCACCAGATCCTGCAAGCAGCAAGCTCCAAGCATCACAGCAGCCAGACGTAGAGCTAAGAACGGCATAGTTGATATCAGAGAGGCTCCAGCCCCGGCGGATTATTGGAACAAGCTAGTCACCATGAAGACTCAAGTGTTGATCACCATACTGCTGTGCCTCGCGCTGGCCCACTCCGCGCAAGCATCAAGCAGCAATTTCGAGGTGCTTAGCCTTTTCCGCCCCTGAGACCACTCGATTCTAGTCTCTTCTGGTCAAGGACTAGTTTTCCGCATTAGCTAGGATGTTCATCGGAATATCCGTCGACTACAGTTTGTTCTTGTAGTACGAAATCTCACCTTCTCTAGCAGCTTTCGATCTCGTCATGTTACGGTTACAGGATCGGGGATTTTCGTAGTTCACCTCACAGCAGATCCGTCTTGCGTAGCTGTCTCTTACAAGCCTGAACTTGCAACCTCTCTTCTCTCCCGAGCACATTTTAAACGCCTGCGTCACAACTGTGTCCTTACCTTCTTGTCATTCCATCCGTTTCCTTTCCCTCGCGCAGAAATACGCCGTGCGCAACTCCGTCCGCAGCGGCAGCGCGCACCGACTGAGGTGGCGCAAGCTGACAGAGCTTCCCACTTGCGTCAACCAAACACTCTGCGGATCGTAAGTGTATCGCTTCTCCCTGCCAACCTTCTGCACGCATGTCCCGCTTCTCACTCCTTTGCCTCACGCGTTCCCCCTTGTTAGTCTTCTTTCCGTCCCTAGGCTCCCTTCTGCCGTTCTTCTTGCTCTGTTGTGTTGTGTCATCCTGCCCTGACTCTGCTGTGCCTTGGAAGCTGTTTCTAATCTGTTCTTTTTGTGTCTTCGATTTCTTCTCGTCTGAATTCTCCTCAGACTGTGCGTAGACATCTTGACCGACATTAACAACTGTGGCGTGTGCTCCAACTTCTGCGACCTCACCCAAACCTGCTGCAACGGCACCTGCATCAACCCCAACACCAACAACGCCCACTGCGGCGCCTGCGGTGCCAGGTGCCCAGGCACCTGCGCCGCGGGTGTGTGCAACTACGGCGGGGTGACCTCCTCACCTGGGAACGGCAATGGTGGAGCTGGCAATGGTCTTGCTGGTAATGGGAACAATGGTGCTGGCCCCGTCGTCCCCCCTACGGGTGGTTCTGGCCCTGTCGTCCCTGGTACTGGTGGTCCTGCTGCTGGTGGCCCAGGGAAGACTGGAAAGCCCTAAGCGCGCTTAACTAGTGGCGTTCGGCAGCAGCAGATGATTCTTCTCTGGTGATGTTATACGCGGTGTTAAATATTTCGGCGCTATTGGGCGGACCCAAATGTATTGTGTCCACGGAACGGCCTGGGCTTGTACCATTACGGTTGCTGCAGCTTCTCTGAATCGGCTTGCTCTCTTCAGTGCTTGTATCCGTCTGCTTAATAAGCAGATCTGCAGTGTACACCATCTTTTATCCTTATCTTTTGAAACATTGTCTGTGATTGGGGGTATTATGGGCTGGGGGTAATTATTGGGAATGTATTGTAGATCCGCGTTAACAAGCCAAAAATATTATTTAATTTCATGTTGGTAGTTTGTCATATTTGATTTAGTCCAGTAGCTGATAGGAGCTAGAGATTTTTTTCGAGTATTTTTTGAGCTGGGAGATTAACTTCCAGTGTCAAACACTCCCATGGAAGTTATTATAGGTATCCCAAGCTCCCAACCGTGTGAGTTGACTCTGGACGTTGTTAGTGAGTTGAACAATGGCATCGAGGAGGGTCAGCGTGGGATGTGGTGTACAGAGCGGTCAAAAGGGAAAATCCCTAGTTGCGTACATCTTCCGCTGTCCTTGCATCCAAACATTGAAGGTGCGTAGCCACGAGAATTTGTGTTTGAACCCCAGGGCTATTCGCACACGTCCTCGAACCAATGGTGGTTACCATACGGATGGGGTTCGCTGAGGACAAGCTGCGCGACTTCGTGGCGAGCGGGATCCTGAACTGACCCCTGAGCGTGAATCCGAATATCGCAGGTGAAATTCCGATGGCAAGCTGGCTGAAACGCCGTTCACCAAACACCTGCGCCTCGGAGATATTGTTGTCCCGCTGAACACTTGAGCCACTCGAGCAACATTACTAACGGGGATTCAAATGAACCGGCTTTGTTATCGAAGTAGTCCCTCACATGATCATTAAAAACTTCTCGGTTGAATAGTCATGACTCATGAATTTCAAACCTGTTGAAAAACTGAGACCTACCAAATCAGAGCATTGAAGACCTGAACAGGCCTTAAAAAACAATAACAACTATATGTACATTAGCTTAGCACCCGCGCCCTCTTGTTGCACCAGCGCATCTTGCGCGCTTGGTTTTAATATCTTTATGGCATGGAGAGGGACGTTGTGTCAACTCAACAGTACTCCTGTGTCAAATGATTACATGTTATAGATGTTAGTTATTCTAGGCTACAGAGCAGGGCCTATTTTATCAGTGTAATTCACACTGCTAGACTGATTATAAGGGTGAAATTTAGGGCCTGCACTGATGTGTTAGGGTATTTTTTTGGCAAATTAGTGTTACACTGATATGTCAGTGTACCGAATTACCCCGGATAGAAGCGCACCTGCGCTTATAATAAAGCAAAGTTTTTTAGGGGGGTGCACTTCTAATTGAGTCATTTTTATGAGCGCATGCGCTTATATAATGACAGATACATATATATTTTGTAATTCTATAGCATCAAAATGTACATCTTGTTGGGCTGAGAAAAAGCCCTTAGGATCTTTCAAGGCTAAGATCTGTTGAAGTAGTGATGTTGTAATTGCGGAAGCGTAATAGTAGTATCGACTTGAACCACCTTGCACTGGTACCGTATGGCCCCGGATATAGGCGCCGTCCGATTAAGGGCGCCGGCGCTTCTATCTGGAGCATGGCGCTTATGGCCGGAACTCGATTATAAGCGCCCCCCCTCTAGTGGGTGTACTTATTATAAGCGCACCTTTTCACGTTGTGGAGAACTCATTACAAAAAAAAACATCTCTAATTAGCACCAAACATGAGCATGCTAACTTTACACCTACAACATCATCACTGACATTTCTATCTAGCTACATATTGCAAAGTTTAGCATCTCTACCTAGAAAATCTTCTCCTCCTCGTCGGATTCTGGCTCCTGGCAGTTGTTGCCAAAGAAGCCATCGGCGATGATGGAGTCATCGACATCCACCTCCGCGGTCAGCTGGCTCCGCCTGTGCGCCATGGCGAGGCCGTCCTCACTGCCGTCAAGCGCGTTGCTGATGCCACAGGTGAGGAAGGCGCGCTTGATGAGGTCGGCGGGCACTGCTTTCCAAGCCCGTGAGATCTGTTGGGCTGAGAAAAGCCCGTAGGATCTTTTCAGGATTAAGATCGGGTGTTGAAGTAGAGATGTAATAGCGGAAGCGTTTAATGAAGAGTTGTCGTGAACCACCTTGTGCTAGTTTGTGAGAACAAGATAAGTTGATAATAGCAGAGAAGTACAAGGCTTTTATATGATTACAAAGGAATATGGAAAGTTCTGTTTTAACTGTTTTTGCTGTTGCAGTTCGATACAGTGCCGACTTGGGTAGCTGCTCTGTAACGAGTCAGTTACGTCTCCTTGCTGTCGCACTGTACGTTTCGTCAGGTCAAACGTCGGAGGCCTTTGACTTTCGTGTAACCTCCGAAGGTTGACTCGAGTGCTTCTTCGCTGTAGTCAGATCCGTTTTGTGTCGAAGCTTCGATACGACAGAAGCGTTATAATTCACTTGTTTCCAACAAGATCCACCTCACGACCACAGTACCTACTGTGCTCCAGTCTGTGTTCCAGTCTGTGCTCCAGTCTGTGCTCCTGACACAAGGCCAGCATGGCCTTGTTGTCGACGTACAGAACTGGAGGAGAACGAGGCGCCTCTCCCAAGTCGGTCAGAAGGTAGGTGAGCCAGCGTAGCTCCTGTGCAGCCATGGCCCCAGCGTAGATCTCAGCCTCACAACTCGAGCTGAGAACAGAAGAAGAGCGGGTAGACCGCCAAGAGACAGAACCGGAACCAAGACTGAAGGTGTAACCCTGTGACGACCGCTGTGTAGCCAAGTCGTCAACCCAGGAAGCGTCTGCGTGACCAGTGAGGACAACTCTAGCACGTCCTCCAAGCACAAGCCCCATGCCCGACGTACTGCACAAGTAGCGCAACACCCTCTTCGCAGCATTCCAGTGCACCTTTCGGTGCCTGCCGGGAGCCACGTAGCGAGCCAGAAGTCTGAGAGGGTATGCAAGGTTAGGTCGTGTGCAAGTCATCAGGTACATGAGGCAGCCCACAAGCTCTGGATACGGGCCACTCGGCTCTACGGACTCGTCCGAAGGTGGAGCTGAGAGCGAGTGACCGGTAGGCAGAGGAGTGGACTATGGCGAGGAGTACGTGAAGCCGAAGCGCTGAAGGACCTGCTGCATCATGTGTGACTGAGTCAAGGTAATGGTGCGCTGTGCTCTGTCCAGGGTGATCCGCAAGCCAAGATAGCTTGTCAGCTCTCCCAGGTCTGTGCACGTGTGTCTCTTCTGCAGCTCGGACTTCACGTGGGCGAGTGCCTCAGTGTCAGCAATAGCAAAGACGAGGTCGTCTATGTACACGAGAACGTAGAACGGCGGTAGAGTGGTGTCAGTGCGTAAAAACAGAGAAGTGTCAGCAATGGAAGGAGCAAAACCAAGAGCAGCAAGAGTCGTCCTCAGTGATTCGTGCCACTCACGAGGTGCCTGGCGGAGACCGTAGACTGGCCGCCGGAGGCTCCACTGGGTACCAGCAGGAAACGACCCAGTGAAGCCAGGTGGGCGACGCAGCCAGATCTCCTCATGCAGGCTGCCCTGTAGGAAGGCTGTGCTGAAGTCAAGCGAGTGGAGCTCGTAGTCACGGTGAGCGGCAACGTGCAGCAGTACCCGAAGAGTGGTCATCTTCGGGGTAGGAGAGAAGGTCTGGAAGAAGTCAACTCCCTGTCCGTGACTGAAGCCACGTGCAAGGTAACGCGCCTTGAAGACAGGTGGAGAACCCAGCGGCCGCTTCACCCTAAAGATCCACATGCCACTGATGATGTTCGCCCCAGGCGGGGGAACCTCGTCGACGTAGGTGCCTGTGGACTTCCAGAAAGCCATCTCGGCATCCATGGCTGCCTGCCACTGAGAGGAGTAGGGACCCTCTATCGCCTCTGCGTAAGAGCGCGGGGTCGGGATGTCTGGTGCATCCGGGTCTCCCTCAGGGGCAAGCAGCATGGACACGAGATGAGGTACAGCAGCGGCAAAGCACTCAAACTCCTCCTGTCTGTCCTCAAGAACGTCCGTGCCAAGAGCACACTCACCCCCGACGGACAGAGGACAGACAGACGCAGACGCAGACTCAGCAACAAGACTAGTGGCGTAGTCTAGGCGACAGGCTGCAGCAAAGTCAACAAGCTCAGCAACGAGAGCAGACGCACAAGAGGACTCAAACAGAGGGTCAGTGACAGCAGTGGCCAGGAAGCGCGTGACAGTAGGACTAGCAGCACGAAGGGAGTCAGTCTCCGGGTCCGGACCGTCAGGAAGAGAGGACGCAGGAGGAGAGGGCAGAGGGACACGCTGTGGAGCAGTGGAAGGATGCAGTGTCATAGAGTGAGTGCCAGGGACAGGAGGAGGACGCGGACGCAAAACACGACCAGCGCGAGCAGTGCGGACAGGCGACGCAACACGAGACACAGGCGACACAGGACGCGACTCAGGCTCACGACGCTCCGTAAGACCTCTAGTCGGTCCAGAGTAAGGAGAAGGACCAGGCAGTGGAGAGGACGGCTGTAATTGCGACTCTGACAGGACAGGCTGTGGACTCAGTAAAGGAGGAGGAGGACCAGAAGAAGGCGGTAGACCAAGAACATGCTGAAGGAGCGGAACGTAGTACGGCCGCGGCCGCGCAGCGCCTCCAGAAACAGCAGAGACAGCACTAGTACCCTCAGCTCCAGGGTCTCCAGTAACAACTCCCACAGCACCACCAGCCTCGGTACCTGCAGCGCCAACGCCTGCAGCACCACCAGCCCCACACGCTCCAGTACCTCCAGTACGAGCAGCTCCAGGACCAGCGGCTCTAGCAGCTCCAGCACCAGCAGCCCCTCCAGCAGCTCTAGCACCAATAGCACCTCCAGCAGTACCAGCACCTCCAGCAGTACCAGCACCAGCAGCACCTCCAGCAGCACCAGCACCAGTAGTACCTCCA